ACTTGTCTGTTATTTTCCCTATTTCAGGTATCCTTAATTATTATCTAAATCATAGGGACACAATTTCTCACACAAATAAAGTATGAGCTGAGGGTGGTGGTGCGAACTTTTAATTCCAGCACTCAGGAGGCAGAGGCAGGAGGCTGTGTGTGAGTTGGAGGTCAGCTTGGTTAACATAATGAGTTCCAGACCAGCCAGGGCTACAAAGAGAAACCCTATCTCAAACAACAAAAATTCTAACCACAAAACCAACCAACTAAACAAAAACCCTAACTCACCAACCAAACAACAACAACAATAAAAGCATAGATTGTTCCTTTTTATAATGAACAGTGAGTGTCACGAGGTATGAGTGACATATAAGAACCTATGTGCTTGAAATAAACAATTTGGCATTTTAAGATGTGCGCACACCTTTGAGCTCTCAACACAATGATTGTGAAGAACCTGCCCATCTCCATCTAAATTGTCTCATGATTCATCACTTGCTAATCATTCCCGTTTCCAGTCTCGCCTTACTTTTAGGTGACCACGACTGATCTGCTTCCTTTCTCATAGTAGAGAAGACCAGGGACCAGAGAGAGTGATGTGTGTGTCTTGCCCGTGTCAAAGTTGATACACAATACATTAGTTCCTTTTCGGAATTGTGATAAAATACCATGAACAAAAGCAACTTACCAAAGAGTGTTTATTCTAACTTATGGGTCTAGAGGGAGAGTCCATAGTAGCAGTGGGGCACGGAAGCAGGTGGCCAGAGTAGGAAACCGGCAGACCACATTTCCATCCATACACAGGAAGCAGAGACAGGGAGCAGGAAGTGAGGAAAGCCATAGTCCCTCCAAACCTTCCCACAGTGATGCTCTTCCTTCAACAAGGCACTACGTCTTCCATAACCTTCCCAAACAGAGCCACCAACTGGAGACATAGTGTTTAAAAACATAAGATGACAATAGGGGACTCACTGAATTCATCACACCTTGCATCCTGAAACTCATTCCAGGTTCATGCTGGGAGACCCCCTTCAGTCCTTCTCAGATGGAAGAGAGTACCATCAGTTAGATACTCACCGTGTGTTATATTTCCAGGTGCTTTGTACATGTAACCTGGAGCTCTGTTTGGACAGTAGGCTCAGTAACTCCTTTGGCTTCCAAAACCTTATCTTTAGTGAAGGTTTGTGTTCATCCCTGACTTCTTCCTCAGCTCACGTGTTCAGGTGCATGCTTGACTTCCCCACCAGATGTTTAAGCGTCTCAAATGGAACTTTCCTGCCTGTAACTTCACTTACAACCCGCCTTCTTGGCCTCCAACTCGGGCTTTCTCAGTCTTCATTTAACACCTATTCAAGTGCTTAAGTTGAAAAATAAATCGAACCAACTTAGATTCATCCTTCTCATGTAGGATCACGAGCTCATCGGCATCTGTCTCTGAGAAAGAATCCCAGACTGTCTCTGCTCCCCGTGCACATTGCCACCATCCTGTCCCAGTCATTTCTTCTTCCACTTGGTGCCCCACCTTCCCTCTTGCTATGCCCTCACACCCCTTCCCCTACATCTGCTACTGGTCTCCAAAAGAAATCACAACATGATACAACCTCCGCTTAGAACTCCCCTGACGTTTCTCATATGCAGCTCATGTTCTTAGCCATAGAACCTTTGTGAACTGGTTTCGTGGTCCCCATGCATCCCTGGCCATTCTCACCTTCTTCTCATTGCTTGGGCGTAACGAGTTTATGGCCACCTTAGAATTCTGTGACTTTTATTTGTGCCTAGAATTCTCTCCTCATCATAACACGGCTAGTTTCTGTTCTCTCCCAAGGAACAGAAGTGGTGGCGATCCGTGTCTGAAATCATCTGGTTTGTATATCTGTCCCATGCCTGTTTTCCCCTTGAGAGGAAGAGTTTTATGTACTGACCTACCCGCTCCTGCAGCCCCAACTCTCAGAAACACACCTGGAAGAGAGCTGCTACCCAATATCTATTTGTTGAACAAACAACAGATATCGCAATCATCGAGGCTGTTAGCTATCTTCATAGTAAGAATGCTTCTCTGTTGCTCTATAAAAATTTAATAACTCTTCCTAATTCTTTCCTCCCTCGGTTTTGTTTTATTTGGCTTTGTGCTCCCCACAGTGATGAAGAATTTAAACGTTTTAATTTCTTCACTTTTCTACTCTCTCGTGGGATCTCCCCTTGACAGCCTACCCACATCTCTCTCTGTCGTACATGTGCCTCCTGGGTTTTGCTGAACAAACTTAGGACGGTCGTCATATTAGCCTCTATCTTCTTCCCGTATACCTCCGTGTTTCAATAATCCTTACTTCACTCATATTACAGTTCCCAGCTCGGCAGTCATCACCCGCTTCCACTTAACTCTAACAGACTGCGGGATTTGGTGCTCACTATCCTCTCTCATACGTGACAGCTTCCTCACCTTGATTCTTGTTTTAACTTAGTTCTTCATTCTATAATTTCCTCAGCTCAGGGTATGGGCACATGTACTCCGAGTTCTCCAGTGTCCGGCAACGTCTTGAGTAATAACAGCATCATTAGCATAGATTCCATGCTAGTCCCAGGCACAGGAGATGTGGCAGGATGGTCAGATCCTGTTCTCAGTTGGTTCACACTTTTCTTCTGGCTTTGTACTTGTGAAATAGGCCCCTTTATGTTTCAGGAATTAGCTTTTCACCCTCTGCAATTTCAAGGGTTAAAAAAAAAGAATACTTCATTCTATATGTGCACACTTTGTGGCTGAACCCGAGAGACTCATCAGTGAAACTGGCTGTGTGTGTCATTACCAATTTCCCACATCAACAGCAAGAGGAGAAAGTTCCGGAAAGTCTGCTACCACCATTAACTGTTTCTGAAGTGACATTTACTTTCATTCATGTGTCCTTGGTCAAAGAAAGTCATATGACCCTACCAAACTGCACAGGGAGCAACGTCACTACTCTCATACTGGAAGCAAAGAACTGGAAATACGCGTGTCACAGGTGTCTCCCTGAGTCCTCATTTAAAATGTTTTTTATCTGTATTTATTAACCAAACACAGTTTCATTCTGTCATTGTCACCTGCAGGGGACAGGGCTGTGGTGCTGGTAACGGGGGTCTAAAGTGTCTAAGTTCAGTAGTCCAGGCTAAGATCTCTGTCTGGCTCCTGCGGGAGACAGAGCTTATGAATGGAGCATTTGGATTAAAGTGCTACGATTTGTTTGATGGCAACTAGACTGCTGTGTGCCTAAAAGGGGGACATTGTGTGTCGCAGCTCAGAGGCACAAGCAGCTCCGCCATGCTAGTGGTGCAATGTGCAAGGATCAGAGGCACGAGCGGCTCCGCCATGTTGGACTGGGCGGGGCCAGCATGCAGTACCTGTTTTTGACCTAGGAATGCCACAGCTTAGATTCTTAAGCGCTTAATGATTTAAAGGCGCAAAACAAAGTGCTCCTGGATAGTAAAAGAATTACAGATTCACAATAAAACAGATTCAGACATAAAAGACCACACTGTTGGATGAGTGTACGTAGGCTTGAGAGAGAGAAAAAAAATATAGAGAATAAACTTAATGCCTTAGACAGAGTACAGAAGTACAGATAGTTATAGATTAAGAGAAATAAAGTAAAAATAAGCCACGTAAAAATGGAAAATTCACAGAGAGTCTGGATTATGTACATTGTGTTTTCTTTAAAATTTTTGACTGTGAAGGAGCTAAGTACAGAGAGACATTTCATTATATGGGCTGCTAAGCTGAACCTGCACATATGTTCTAAAGGTATCTTGACTTCAGAATTTGGATCTAAGGTTATGATGCTTTGGAAAAGTCCTT